GATGGAAATACTTTTACAAGTGGCAAAAGATATGATGATGATGACTGCAACATTATTTGTAATCATAAAGTTATGGAACCAATTTAATTTCAAAAACAATATGTAAAGTGTTAGATAATGTAATAAACAAAAAAACCCTTCAATAATAATGCAAAGGATAATGATAATAATCTTGATTCTACTGATAACATCGATGGGGCAATTACTAAATCCAGGCACAATCTGCAGATAAGGTATTGCTACCACTCTCATATTACAGTTGAAAAAAAATGAGGTAAAATGAGGAGAGATGGGTGGCCTGCCATGGGTATCCATGGTGACAAGAGTCAACAGGAACGTGACTGGGTTCTAAATGAATTCAAACATGGAAAAGCTCCTATTCTGATTGCTACAGATGTGGCCTCCCACGGGCTAGATGTGGAAGATGTGAAATTTGTCATCAATTATGACTACCCTAACTCCTCAGAGGATTATATTCATCGAATTGGAAGAACTGCTCGCAGTATCAAAACAGGCACAGCATACGCTTTCTTTACACCTAATAACATAAAGCAAGTAAGCGACTTTATCTCTGTGCTTCGTGAAGCTAATCAAGCAATTAATCCCAAGTTGCTTCAGTTGGTGGAAGACAGAGGTTCAGGTCGTTCCAGGGGTAGAGGAGGCATGAAGGATGACCGTCGGGACAGATACTCTGCGGGCAAAAGGGGTGGATTTAACACCTTTAGAGATAGGGAAAATTATGACAGGGGTTATTCTAGCCTGCTTAAGAGAGATTTGGGGGCAAAAACTCAGAATGGTGTTTACAGTAATGCAAATTACACCAATGGGAGGTTTGGGAGTAATTTTGTGTCTGCTGGTATACAGACCAGTTTTAGGACTGGTAATCCTACAGGGACTTACCAGAATGGTTATGACAGCACTCAGCAGTATGGAAGTAATGTTCCCAATATGCACAATGGTATGAACCAACAGGCATATGCATATCCTGCTACCGCAGCCGCACCTATGATTGGTTATCCAATGCCAACCGGATACTCTCAATAAGACTTTAGAAGTATATGTAAATGTCTGTTTTTCATAATTGTTCTTTATATTGTGTGTTATCAGACAAGATAGTTATTTAAGAAACATGGGAAACGCAGAAATGACTGCAGTGCAGCAGTAATTATGGTGCACTTTTTTGCTATTTAAGTTGGATATTTCTCTACATTCCTGAAGCAATTTTTAGGTTTTTTTTGTACTAGAAAATGCAGGCAGTGTTTTCACAAAAGTAAATGTACAGTGATTTGAAATACAATAAATGAAGGCAATGCATGGCCTTCCAATAAAAAATATTTGAAGACTGAAAAAAAAAAAAAGGAGGTACAGAAAGTTTGCTAATAGCCCAAGGGCGCACAAGAAGAGAAACAAGATTTTACTCCAGAAACTATGGTCCTGAGCACAGATTACACTAGGTCTTTTCTGTTCCCTGGTCCAAGAAACTTCTGACTCCCAACTACGTTTCATTCCAGCAGATCTTCTGCGAAGATGAGAAGTCGCTGCTAGATGAGATGAGGGTAAGTGAAGTATCTTAACCGTTACCAGGGTGAAGCCACCGGGACCACCTTGGATGTTATAAAACGTTTGTGTCGTCCCTGGGTGGGCTCGAACCACCAACCTTTCGGTTAACAGCCGAACGCG